TCGAGTCACTCTAACCAATTAAGATAGAAGAAAATCATGCCAAACCATATTCAAAACCATGGTCTAGCTGTCTTTGCATAACTTGATTCACCACATTGTGTGCTGTGCTGGAGAACGGTGTCTTTTACTGAACAATTCCCTACCTCTGATATACCTAACAAATGTATACATTTTTCACTGTTCAGACATTGTCCCTTGAGGCAGTGTGAAAAGAAGAATCTGTGCTATTTCCACCCTCTAGTCAAATAAAAGCAACATTTTGCACAGGGGTATGGATAGTGTGTAGCTGCTTCTGATCCTGCATATCACCGCTTCTCTCTGTCCAGCATTGGCGTGTATTCATGGATGCCAAGGGAAGCCAGGCTTCCCCAGAAAATGGACCAAGAAAAAAACAAAAAAACATATACAATAATGTATCTTTCGTCTCTCTGTGTCTCATAATTTACCTTCAATTCGCAAGAGGCTGAATGTATCTCACCAGAGAAGGCATCCGTGTGAGCGAAACAGCGCCCCTCTGTCTCTGTATCTGTAGGCCATATATCTGACGCTGTCTGGTCATAAAGAGTATGACATTGTTGCCGCCCATAGCATTGAACACAAGGGAAGCCAGCGAGTGTTTGGCCTCCCTTGATAATAAAAGTATAAAATAATAGCCAATCAGCGTTGAGCTAAACAGACTGAGCTCAACTGTGAATGGTCCTGACGCACCAAAAAAAGTGTCACGGGAACCAGTTTGGATTTGGCTTCACTCCAATCACATCGAGAGCATACATCACTGACAGAAACTCGTTGTGCATCTCGTTGTGTTGTTGTCCTCCGGTGGCTAGCTAGCTAGCTAAAACTGGCCCTTTCCTAAATTAGCCATGTATGGAGATAGGGATTTGGACTTGCGGTTTTACTTAATTCTCCGTACTGACCAATGATTATAATGGCGATTCTGAACCAACCATAAATGCATACATTGTGCCCCTGGACTGAGAGGGTGTATGTTCAATGTGTAGCTATATGTAGAAAGTTCTTGTTAACTAACTAAAGTTGCCTGTGAAAGGAAGTTAGGCTAGCAAGCAAGCTTTTTAGCCAGTTAGCCTAGGACAACAAAAAATGAAAGTGTATACTTTATGACAGAGTGATAGATCATTTCTTCAACATGAAAGAGAGGAGGATGGCATTGACGTGAGTGAACATGTTTTTTCTACTTGCATGAACGCACATGCGCGCACAAACACACACATACACACAGAAATCAGAACCATGGACAGCCACATCATATTTAGCTTACGTTGATTGGACAAAAGTGTTTTTGGTATCTTTTAGTTGCCACTGTGTGAGACTAAGCATAGGTGATTTGATGATGTTGAAATGTTGAAGTTGAAATGGTGCTGGAATAGTGGAGGCAGCTCCTGTTTTCTTTGCGACTTGCGGTAACTCGCCATGGTTCTAAATCAATAGTTGTTTAGTGTTCCGGAAATGTCGGAAACATTAACTTGGTAGGTCATGTAGTTGTTTGTTACATGCAATATGCTTTGTGGACTTCACCTGACAGAGGTTGCTCTTCAGTTTTGTGATGAAACACAGGTGTGGTTGAATTTATTCTGCCACTGTGTCTTCTTATTGTCTCGGCCTTAGGTCTATATCACGGTGGCAAGGCATATGAACTAACAGGTTATAGAGCAAACAACGCAATTATCACAACACATAGGTTGTAATATGACTTTTTTTTCTGTCTTCCCCAGTGATTTTACCCACCCACCACTACTGCTGTCCAGTTAATTGGAACACAAAGCACAGTGAGGTCGATGGGAGAGAGTGGTGGAGAAGGGGGTTGCTGTCTGTCTCAGCCAACACTCCGCCTTCACTGCACGCTGGAAATTGACTGGGGAACCAGCAAGCGAGACCGACACACTGTCACTGGGAAAATGAACTGTCACCTCTCATTTCTCAAACTCCTGGCAGCATCGAATTGGCCGCTTTGAACCATGTGATGCAACACTGATTGAGCTCTGCTGTCTCCATTTGGAACAATACAACTGATTTTTAAATGTATGCAAAGAGGCACTGCAGGCGAATGAGGGTGGATGTTCTGTGACAGTATTTTAGCCTTATTCTACTCGACCTGCCATGGTTACAATCGTTTTGTCTCACCACCCCTCATTATATCCATAGTGCTGCTTCGTTACTCTGCTTTTCTCCCGTTCCTGTTTTTCTTACGCCAAACAGCCATGGTGAACTGACAGGCACACAGTGGCAAACTATTAGGGTGGCCATTTGTATCCTGGAGGCAATTCTAGAAAGTATCAAGACGTTAACCCTGGCCCAGCCACTTGTCCCTCTTGGTTAGACTGTGTATAGGGTAGAGAATGGATGCAGTTGCTGGAGGACTCAGGAGGGGTTGGCCTGCAAGTTGGCTTGGGGATGCAGATAGAAAAGAGGCTCCCAGGGAGGGGGATGGTTTTTGGAGACACTTACCTTGGCTCAAATGAACCACTGTCGCAACAAAGGAATCACGCAGAAGCAGGATGCATGTGCCATTCTCTTTGAGGCCTACTGAACACCTGTAAGGAGCTTTTATCCTGGTTCTAAAAAATGTAGAATACCATCCTGATTTCTGCCTCGAAAATCAACTAAAGTGACCTCTCTGTGCTGCCCCTGAACTCCCCAATCCCCAACCCCCTAACCCATGAATACTGTATCCAGTTCAGATCCTTTGAAGCCTGCTGTCCCTGCCTTGAAGCCTGCTGTCCCTGCCTTGAAGCTTGGTGTCCCTGCAGAGTGACGTGCCACAGTGGAACCAGAGACCAAGGAAGTGAGCCAGGCATTCAACTTGTAAAAGAGCTTGCAACAACTGCAACCAGCATGGGGCTCACTATTCATCTCCTTCGCCTCAGAAAATGTTATGGTGAAGAGATAACGATGTTTAAAAAGATCACTAAATGTGGGTTTGTTGCTATGTATTATCGGTCTTTATATTTCTGCTGGCATTCATGCTATAGCTTACGTTAATACCATTGTGCATAGTAGTATTCTCTGCCTGTGTCCCTGTCCCTGGCCCTGCTTGTTTTACATTCTCCAGTTAGAGCTGTAGTGCCACACTGACAGGCTGGTGAAAAAACATCCTCCATCTCCCTGGTTGAACATCTGTCTCCATGGTGCTGGCTCCTCCATTGCTGGCTGTGACACAGATGGAGAGCCCGGTGGGAGGTCTGAGGTATTACCTAGCGAGAGGACAGGAATCACACCTCTGGGTTCAAGTCCTGCACCTAGTCCCTTCCCTGTTTTTGTTGGATCTGTCAGCCTTCCCTATATTAACCGCCATCCCCTCCCAAGGCCCCATTGTGACTGTCAGGGTAGAGAAAAGATACATGGCAACTATTCTGACATATTCTCTTTGGTGATGCTCAGTGTAAAGTTTAAACTGAAACAATGATTGGTTGAAAATCGATCAATTATTGATGCCATTTGCTAGAAGAGAACGTAGAACCTCATGCAGATGTATTTCAAATCATCATGGCTTGCCTGATGACTGGCTGTCTCAAACAGTCTTAAGGGGGAAATGAGAGGAAGAGAGTCAGCTTCAAAAAGAGACAACGAGGGAGGAGAGGACCGCATGGGTTGTGGCAGGAGGCAATGAGGCAGATAGGCCTTTTAATGGAATGATCATCATCTAGCACCAGTTCCCTCTTTGTTAATAATTCATGGTTAAAAAAAATGTAAGGAACTATGATGACACTACAATTGTCTAATAAGCCATACAATATGTAGATGAAAAAATATCCCCTGCTGTTTTTTAGCCTTGAATATTAACGGCAAAGAAAAGGAAGAGAGGGAGACCTTCAGCTGACTCATCGAAGCCATTCTTGTGTCCTGACAGATTGACTAGAGGCCTTTGTGAATCCATTTGTGGGTGAACTTTGAATGAACCTCAGCTTTGGGGGAGAGGGCACTGACAGGCCAGTGCCGCTGGGGCAAGAACTGTGCAAACCTAACACCCAGTGCAAATATTGAGCCTGCCTATACCATCAGGAGATGAAACAAGGTTGTCAAGCCCCTGCCACCTTTAAGGAAGAGCTGAGGCCTCAAAAAAGCATACAAGGTTAAACTATAAATTTAGTTCTAGTGGTGGTAGAAAATTATCCAATTATTTTCTAATTGACTATTATAGCAATCAAAAGAGAAAGTGGCAAGTGCAAGTGAGAACCTGTATCAATTGTTTGTGGATCTCAGGGCATGGAATTTGTGCATAGCCAAATTGAATTTGGGTAACAAATCTAGTGTGAAACCTGGCACCCTGGAGTTTGTTGTCATGTTTAGAACCCCTGGGGGTATTCCGAGGTGAAGAGGTCATTGGTAGCAACCCCATGTGTGGTGAAAGACTCCTCATGTCACATTATGCAAAGGGAGTAAGAATGGGTAAAACTCAACAGCAAAGAAAGACAGAACATTATATATTAATGAAGGTTTAATTTTGTCAAAACTATTATATAGAAATCAGTAATATGTGATTGTCAATATGAATTGCATTTCAATGAAAATTAAATATTTTTCCATCTGATTCCAGATTTCATGAGTAGCCCGATTTAAAACAGTTTCACAACAGTTAAACAATTTTGACTTCCAAAATACTATTTGCATAGAAAGAACATCGAAGAAGAATTCAATTAGTTCCATAGAGTTATATTTTCGTACACCATATCCTTATTGTCACATTTAATAAATACTTTATAGCCTACTGTATGGGAGCATTTCATTCACTCACAAATGTGCAAATCAGCACAAATACAGACTTTTCAAAACAAACATTGCATTTTTTTTCAAACTTCTCACATAATTAGCTAAATCATAAAACGAATTTATTTGTAGAAAATACACAAACATTAAACTAAATTGTTTGCCGAAATTAGTACACCTAAACCCTGTAAACCTGCAGTATCCTTGAAAATGTGACAAGTAAAGTGCAGCATCATGAGTGCGGTAATTCAAATGTTATTTGTAAAACGATTGCTTTATGTGGTATTCGAGTTTGGTGACACATCAGGAGATGCGGTGATCTCTCCCAAATCATTTGCCGGTACTGCTGTGTTTATAAAGACCGTGCCTGCTTTCTCACGCTTTTTCTGCTTCATCCTGCGATTTTGAAACCAAATTTTCACTTGAGTTTCGTTGAGCTCGAGAATAGCGGCAACTTCCACTCGCCGGGCCCTGGTCAGGTACTTGTTGAAATGGAACTCCTTCTCGAGCTCTGTTAGCTGCTTTGTGTTGAAGTTGGTACGGATTACATTCTGTTGACCAGGGACTCCATATTCTGAAACTGTAAAAGTTAATGAATGAATGAAGGAACTGATGGAATAAATGGAATTTTGAATGAAGGAATGAAAACAGAAATAAACTGTATTATGATTATGTGATGATTGTGAGCAGCCAAGCAAACACATTCAATATTTGATCATTTATTTTACGCACCACGGCACATTTTACCCACTAACGTCTAAAGCACAAACATTGATTAGGCAGTGTCTCTGTATAATTTCCTCTAAATATATGTATATATTTTTTAATGTTGTCTATAAATTAGCCTTTGTCATGACAGTGTTATTTATGACCATGTCACAGGAGCTACAAACCTGTTTTAGGGGGATTCCTCTTAACTTTCATCCAGTCGAACGTTTTTGAAGTTTGATCTGCATTGCAATCATCCGAATCCTTATCACTATATTGGGAAGGAACTAATCTCGAGTAAATACTCTCCAAGTATTCTTGTTGCCCCTGTTCTCCACTGCTGAAGTGCAGATACTGGCTGTTTGGTGCAGACCCTGGTTCACTGTTCCCCTCGGCCAGGGGGGGCATGTTCGTTCCAATGGCTGACACAGGAATCCCAGGCGACTGAATGAAACCTCGTTCTTGTTCATGAATTAGAGCGTATTGATGAGGTCCATAGTCCAAGATTGGCCCTGTTGGTGAGCCATACACCGAGTTTCCCGTTGAGCCAAATTGGAGATCTATATGATGTAGCTGGGGCTGGTGGAGAGGGTGGATCGAAGTCTGGTGCACCGATGAACCACCAACTAACCGCCCATCGGACCCGAAACTATCACTTGTTGCGCATGAATTGGACGATAAGGAGGACATATATCCATGGTTTAAATTGTGGTATCCGGCATTGGCATTGAATATGTTCGTCCCCCGGTTACAAATGGTATAATCTAAGTAAGAGTTCATCCTGTATTGTTATGGCAAAATTAATGAAGACGGGTCAGTCCACCTTAATTGCTCTTCTCTGTGCCCTACAACCTCTAGGTAGTATGTCAAAGCTGTAAAACTGCCTACCACGTTCATATCACCTTAGTGACAGACCATGTGACTCATTTTACGCCAATGGCAATTGGGACCTATAGCAGTTTGTCAGGTCAGGATCGTCCATCAAACGTCTCACATTTACATGACAAATGCTTCAGTCAAACTCGCCCATCAATCTGATAAGAACACAAACACGTCACACCACTTCTGCAAGGACCTTCTGGTCAGACTGAGGGAGAATGATAGTCTGAAAAAGTGAAATATTTTGAAATTATTTCAATTTTGTTTCTCGATATTTTAGAGTTTGAAGCAATCAGTTGACTTGGATGGTCTATGTGATCGAAATAGTCTCTTGGCTGTGCTTTTTTAAGAGTAATATAAGAGTAAGTAAGTTTAGTGACCTGAAATGTTTTCATTGTAATTCATGCAGTTAACAAGATGATATAAGATTGGTGTATAATACCATGCGTCCTCTATGAGAATTATGTTGACCAATGTGTATAAGTATAGGAGCTCATGTGAATTATTTTATTACCTCGGCGTGTTTTTCTGTCTGAGAGCTAATTTTACAGAGGAGACTTGAAATTAATGCGACGATCAATCTTCTGCTCCTCTAAACGCTTGACAGCTGGCTCTCCAATTTGCTCGAGAGAGAACAAAGAACCGGCTAAATCATTGTGCCTTTTAGACTTTTAACAATTTATTATTGCATATAATCTTTACCAGACTATACCTATTTCATTTGACATATTTGAACATATTTTTTTATATATTTTACTCTAACTAGACAAATTAAGCCTATTTATAGGTAGAGCAAGCTCTTTTTGATAACAAGATGTGTAAAAAAAAAACAGTTCTGCAGAAAGTCTGAACAACAAATGCATTTATTCAACAATACACAGAAATTATTCGTCAGCATAGCCTACATGCATTTCAAAGGGTATCCAAAAGGATATCACAATTAATTTACATTTTGAGGAACATTGATTCATCTGTCCCTGAAGCATAAGAGTCTGTCTGTAAACAATAGGCACTATGATTGGCCCAGCGTCGTCCGGGTTTGGCCGGTGTAGGCCGTCATTGTAAATAAGAATTTGTTCTTAACTGACTTGCCTTGTTAAATAAAGGTAAAATAAAATATGATAAAAAATGATAAAAAATGACAAAGTATTACAGAATTAAAAAATATATGAAATTCCCATAAATTAAATTAATAAATAGCATATAAATAACTAAATAACATCGTAATAAATATGTTTGTAATATTCCAATGCACGCAGTGGGGTCATGGCCTGCTCCACTTAGAAAAGTGCATAATGTCAAGTTTTGTACAAAAAAATAAGTGAGAAAAGTTTTTGCTTGATATTGATTTATATTTGATGTTTTACATTACCCTGTGGTTTCATATAATGCAATAATTTCAGGTTTATCCTATATGGATAAGAAATCAAAATAGAAAAACAGAGCTGTCCAACAGGATAGAATAGCCTATGCAGGTGCTGATCTGTGGATGGAATCACATTGACTCTAGCAATACTTATAAACACTCTATTCGAATTAACTCTTGTGTTTTACCTCCGACTCTAGTGGTCACAATCAGTCGTTTAATTCCCAAAATAGTTAAAGCTGCTCTTTTCGAGTAAAATATTAGTAACTCTGCTGTAATGACTCTCCACTAGTTGCATGCATTTGGATACAGCGAATAATTGTCCTTTTGCGCCAAACAAATATTTTATGCTTGCAGACCTAAACTTTGGATTCGGTCCACTAATGATCTGATTATGGTCAAGTGACATATTGACTCCATATGCTATTAATGAGTCAGTTTAGGAGCTTGCTTGATTCATTCTTGAGAAGAATGATGGTATGATGTGTTTGGATCACATAGTGTAGGTTTAGGATGTTGTTGGCTTGACGTCATCTGTGCAGTATGATTACACTGGTTATTTACCCCGTATGCAGTGAATGGCAAGTTCACGTCAACATGAACAGGGTCAGCTTGAGCATAATGAATGGAAAACATACTATAATTGTCCTGCCTACTGCAAGGAGCATATTCTGGGGTTGTATTGGCATATTTCTGTTGGGCTTTCATTGAGTTTGGATAGACTGATGCACTGACATAATCGTTTTGTTGAAGCTTTAAAGATGGCGGAGAAACAGTGTCATAATCATCCCCCATTGCATTAATATAACCAAGATTGGTAAGAGTTCCAGGGCTACCTAAAGAGGAGCACAGTCCTTTAAACTTTTCATGTTTCTTGCACTTCATTCTCCGATTTTGAAACCAAATTTTGATCTGCCTCTCCTTTAGACTGAGTTGGTTAGCCATCTCCACGCGCCTGGGGCGGCAAAGGTAACGATTGAAGTGGAACTCCTTCTCAAGCTCTACCAACTGGGCGCTTGTGTATGCAGTGCGCGCCCTTTTGGAGGCTGCAGTTGTTGGGCTTTCCTCGTCACCAAAGAGTTCTGCCGAGAGAAAATGAAATGTAATATAATTCATCAATTGAATAGGCCTACAGTACCTAAACAAAATCTTATCAACATTAGGCTATATTACATTACATTATATCAACATTTAAGCTTCTGTCGAAACTGGAAATACAATTAGCCAACGCCCATTGGTCGTAATCACATAATAATATTAGCATTTATCAAGCTTAAAAAAGTATTATTTGTAGGCCTAAATCGGAATTATACTGTCCATTGGCTACGCATTTGAATACACACCATTTACTTCTACGGGTTTGTCTCCGTTGTTCTTTATACAGTTCTGCATTGTCAACTTCTTCATCCACGGGAAGATGCTTTTGGTGAAGGTAGAATTTGAGTTAGGTTCACGCTCTTTTGGGTGCTGTGGGTGCTGTGATTTGCTGTTGCCATTTGACTGCGAAGAGCAATCCAACTCCTTCAAGTTGCTCTGACTCTCCAGGTAGGCCAAGGGTTGGTGGGCTAGTGCGTCATGATTGCATCCAAATCCATTGACACCTTGGTATGGGGAATCTCCAAATATTGCTTTGGCGTCTTGGTAGGTATTTCTCTGCATTGTCAAGAAAGGTCTCACCAGCTACTGGGGCCCTTTTGACCTTCTGAAGGAACATTGGCACCCAGAAGTCACGTGACAGTTTCCTTCCAATGACCTCTTGTTTGCTGTCCTGAAAGGTTATGAAAAAACACAGAATAAGGGAGGTGACGGTATGAATCCATCTTATCAACTCAATAGCATCATGACGTGAATAGGACCCTTTCAACCTGCTTACAGAAGCAATGTCAGACTATACTATACTCTCTAATATCTACTTTTCCCTTCTCAACCCTAAAAAAAGTCATTGTTTTTTGAGAAACGAGTCACCAGTTTTTAGTCCAGTAGTGTTATTCAGCATAGGCCTACTTTTGCAGACGCAGTCAATGGGATAAAAAAATAAGAATGCAAACAACAATGCAATTTGAATGCCATAAAGGCAACACATTATTTTGATATTTTCAAGAATGTAATGCTAGGATGCTTGAGGCCTGTAGCACTTGTCTGAAACGATGCTATTTTAGAGAAAAATAAATAGCCCTACATGTTAAATTAATAGCCTAAATAAATACAACTAATTAAAGACACATAGGCTATAGGTCTTACATATGCTAATGATAACATTAATATAACAAACTGTCGATAGAGATTTAGCCAACAAAACTCGACAAAAAAAACAAGGCAACTGTGTCAATAGTCTCCTACATAAGCCCAATGTAGGGGGGAAAAAACAACCAATTTCTTTATTCAATATCAGATAAGCTTAACCATTAATGGTAGCCTGTAGCTCAGTTGGTAGAGCATGGCGCTTGCAACGCCAGGGTTGTGGGTTCGTTTCCCACGGGGGGCCAGTATGAACATGTATGCACTCACTAACTGTAAGTCGCTCTGGATAAGAGCGTCTGCTAAATGACTAAAATGTAAAAATGTAGCCTATAATTGTATATGTCTAATTACATTTCCATTAATTTTCAACATGAACAAAATATTCAAGGTCTCTAAATTCATTATAACGATTATGCTGAGTATGCCTTTATACGCTAGCAAAATAGGTAAAACAGAAGACCATTAAATCGTTTTCAAGAGAAGACGAATGTTGGATGGCATGGAGGCATAGCGTACAGCTTTATGAACTCTGCTTGAACCGCGCACGAGTCATATGGTCATAAATCACAAAGAAAATAGCTGACCATTCACCAGCATTTTTCAGCCCGGCTTACCTTAGCGTATAACGTAGATCCCAGGAATACTGACTAGATATGATTCATTTCACATCCATTGGCTCTAGAATCAATAACGAGAGCTCTCTCCTTTCAAAAACATCAAGGAATGTTATAATCCAGTTCCAATGATGGGCTAGCTATAAGCTCATTGGGAGTCGCCCACGGTATGGGAGAGGTCGAATGAGAACATGGGCATCCTTTACGCAGCTGACTAGACAGTGAAGAAGAATTCTGGCCACATCGCCTATTTGAAAACACTATTCGCCGAAAACCATGACCTCAGTCCGTAAATTATGAGACAAATACATGCCGATACATTTCTCCATTATGCTTTGTAAGGGTCTGTCTGCAGATATAGCAGCCTATTTTAGAATGTGTGTTTAGGATAGCCTTTTCACAACGAAAATTATGGTAATTGAAGATGTGGTGGGACAGGGCAAGTGGAGGTGGTGCCTTTTGATCGATTTGTTTCACACGAGAGCAACCTGCATTAATGAACTGACCTGAGGCCCCATCTTTTCTCTATGGCATTTTATCTTGGCCCACAGTCTACCCCGTGCTGCAGCCTAACATAGTCTAGTCTATATGTAGGCTACTATGAGTCATCTCATTGGATGTTATATGCCAGATTTGACCAACAAAATAAATATAAAAATCAAGAGACCAGTGTTTGGAGATGACAGCAGAAAACAAATGACAATTTGAGAGTAGTAGCCTACATTTGGAATGGCATTGATGTCTTAAAATAAAGCAAGGAAATCAAAATGCACCAATTTAACTATGCCAAACTAAATTGTAAAAATGGGGTTATGATTTTGATTTGGTCAATTTATGACTTTGCATACTATTGCATGACCCCTGCATGAATAATGTATGATGTCAATGTGAAATTTGCCAAACAGTTCGTGTTGAGTGTGCCTGGCTATCTCAACAGAATGTATTTCCATGATATATGAATTTGAGATTTCAGGATTGTGTGGTTGTCTAACCTGGCAGACAACCATGTCGAAAATGTAACTCTTTTGCACCCAACACTCATTCAGTTTTGAAGAGATAAAGTTAATATTCCACCAAATTGCGTCCGTTTCTTTGGGGAACCATCTGGCTCTTGGCTGTACAGTTTAGACATTGAGCCTACTGGAGGTGAGGATCAAACATGCCGCTATAGGATTGTTGTTAGTGGATCGATACCCATTGGGACTGTGGCGGTGCTTTGATCTCTTATGTTCATCTTTTAATTGAAAATACTCAATCCCTTTGATTCATTCATTAGGGACAATAGTTAATACCCCAGGCACGATAGCTAATGTTTAACTACACGAAAGTAATTAGGCTATAACACAAAATAATCTAAACATTGACCAGTCTTTTGCTCAAACACGTCAGGACTGCCAATCTAACGAAATTAAGCCGATGTATTTCTCTGTGACCGGTTCAGACCATGCACATGGATTTGTTGAATTTAGTTATCAAATGGATACCGTACATATCCCACTTTTTCCCTTTACATTGTCATAATACATTTATAGGATGTCTGCCTATAGCCTAGCTATATAATCTTTCAGTGACCAAATATATGTGTGCCTATTCTTCGAATCTCAAGACAAATTCCTGCCATATACACTGTCATGAAAATACTATAATAATCGTTTCAAATCATATTCCATAAAAAGCTCCTATCCTGGGGAACGATGATAAATTCGAAAAGATGCATGAATATGAGGCGTCGAGATTAGACAATGATTTATTTCAAGATTCTATGGCTTAAAATTAAATGTTAAGGCTCTGTAATTGCCAAGTTGATGTAACCCGAGACCTCCAGGCATAAAGTCTTTATATCAGTCTGCTCAGCCCAGATGAAGGCTGGAGAAAGACAATTAAGAGCACCGATTAATCTTATCACTTGTGGATCTGTAGATTAATCGCACATACAGCTATAAACAAAAAAGAGTATTGCAGAAACACAATGGCAGCTGTCTCTGACATTGGCTCACATATCATTAGGCTATAAATCAAAAAAGAACGACTGGCAGACAGGAAAGAGCGAAAGACAGCATAGGATGAAATGTATACATCGTCTAAACCATCCAAATCAATTAAATAGAGATAGATAATCTAGCCCATGGATCTTCCCCTATTGAAACTTCAATATTTTAGCTAGGCTATATTATTTTTTTTATTTTTTTTTATAGAAAATCAAACAACATAATGTTTAATGCTTGCTGTAACATTTTTTGAATTGGACTATACATTTCCTGCAATGTCACAGAGTACATTCATATAGCCTAATTAATACAAATCAAATCCTCCAAAAAATGTTATTGTCCATATACTTACAATACCTTTGCAGGATCTTCTTCATTCCGGCTATGTAGACTTTAAGAAGATACATTGTACACCAGTCGGCAGATGACTACAGTGGTTGGCCTGATGAATGCATGCATCTACTCTGCAACATCTTCCTCAATTATTTAATGAATCACGTGACAGGGATGGTTGCTCACCAGGCTACTCTGACCTATGATGTGGGAACTGGCTTCAGAGCAATGCAACTTTGTGTTGTATTATTTGCAGGGTGCTGCAAAAATAAAATAAAACTTACCCATATCGTTTTTGCTTTGCACTGTAGTGCTGTCTTCGAGAACGAAAATCACAACTCTGTGATTTCTTTGGCAGACGGTCTGGTCTTCTATAGATGAGCTGTATAGCAAAACAAAAGTGTATTAAAGAATGAAGTAATACATGTTATCCTGAACGATGCCCACATCTTAGGCCTCTATTGAAACGTCGAATGGGGCCGTTTATTTCTCTGTCAGAAAATGGAAGGTCGGTTACAATCTAAACTCATTGATTAGTTTAGATTGTTATATGCCAAATTATTATTAAAAACGGCAAGGCGTCCTGCTGACCTTCTCATGCCAGGCCAATTAATAACAGGGGGCATAAATACAATCAACAGGATTTACAAATCAAATGGATTTACAAATGTTCAAACAACTTATTATAGTCTATAAGAGGCAGACATATTTACGCCAGCAATGAACTACCCTAAATCAATTTAGGTAAGGCAAATAATGTTTTCCTAACAATCATTTATTGATAAGTTAACACACCCTCTGAGTTTAGCCTACAACAGCGAAAATCATTTTTGAAATGCATGAGGATATAGGTAGTTTTAGACCCAAATATTAATCGCAGGCCTCATGGTCAGCATGAAGAAATTTAGGACAACATACAGTAAACATTCTAGCATTCAGCCCTGAACAAGTATGAAAATGTATGCACTCACTAACTGTAAGTCGCTCTGGATAAGAGCGTCTGCTAAATGACTAAAATGTAAAATGTAACAAAAACAGACTGCCTTGTCATAGTATTGATCCGTCCCTAACGGATGTGGGTGTGGTGTGTGTGTGTGTAAAAAGTAGAAGTAGCAGAAGTATAAAGAATAACTACGTTCAGAAATCATAATGGGTCCAAAAAGCATGTCTCACCATGGGTTTGGTATACCCATCCTCTTTGATAATATTTAATATCATGAAAAATAACATATTATCCAACTTCCTACCCCAGTCAATCAATATCGTAGGCCAGAGCTCTCCAACCCTGTTCCTGGAGAGCTACCCTCCTGTAGGTTTTCAATCCAACCCAGTTGTAACCAACCTGATTCAGCTGATCAACCAGCTAATTATTAGAATCCGGTGCGCTATTTTGATTGGAGCGAAAACCTACAGGACGGTAGCTCTCCCGGAACTGGGTTGGAGAGCCCTGTCGTAAGTTATTGAAAAGCTTCCAAATAATAAA